AAACTGCAGAAAACACTTCTTCCTTGTAGGGCAGAAATGGGCTACGGCCGATGGGATCTAATGCTGACCAAGCTGCACTTCTGACCTCATCGGTTGATTAATCACAAAATTCTTCCAAATTTGGTCATCAGTAGCTGGTTATGGTGAATTATGCGTGTACTTTTAGCCAATCAGAATCGGGGAAATATTTTGAATGAATAATAATCAGTTTTAAAGTCGATCTCCAGGGATTATTATGAAAACACAGTTTTATCGTAACTTTCAGGTGTTTAGTGGAAACACAGATAGTGAGGCGGTTGTGTACAACAAACTTCCATCGTCGATCAAGACACGCTTCATTCGTCTTTTGCCAACGCAGTGGAGAAATCAGATTTCAATGAGGATTGAAGTTTACGGTTGTCCAGGTAATAAACTGATAATGATTGAAAAAATTGGCTTATTTTACAATAGAGTGGACACTTTTTTTCTGCACAAACATTCACCATTAGGAAATAGCCTATACTTGTTTAGCCTGTGCCAGGCTCTAGGTCAGTGTAGACAAACGAAAAAAAGGGCGAGCAGTGAAATAGCGACCGAAAGAAAGATGGCGGGAAGAGAGAAGGTTAAACAGCCTGTAAGCATCTTTACAAATATCACGGTCTGTCCACTACCCCGCTCACTTCATGAAAAATCGTTTCTCGTGTTACAGGACCGGTCATCATTTGTCGCCTAGGGGAGGGGGGTGCGGAGGATTTTATGGGGATCACTTGATTTTTAGGAGGGCAAAAGGGGGATCACCCGTAACGGAGAACAAGCAGGGGCATCGCTGAAAACTTTGGAAGGATTCAGAAGGGGAATCACTCAAATTTGCTTGGAAAATGAAGACATGGAGGGGATTGCGAAAGTCATCAGAAGTATTAGGGAGGATCACTTCAGTGAAGTAACTTTCAAAGTGGGGATCAGCTAAATTTCCCCTTGTTTAACCCAAATCCCCCCCCCCCCCCCCGGCGATAAATAATAACCGGTCCCTAAGATGTCAAAATGTGCCCTGTAAGAGGGGTTCCAACGCACGCTATGTGTATTCTTTGTATCTGCCGCGTGCGGATGGACGTGACTGACCAATTGTAGGGTATACCCGGAGCTGGAATGAGGTATTGAAAAAATGCTTTCAGGCCGCACTTTGTCTTTCTCCAGCTTTCCCGCGGTTTTAGCGCAGTTTTTCTCTGGCGCTCTGAGTCGGGAACAGGCTAATACTCATGTGTTTCTTAAAGATGTTTATGGCATGTTTTGTTCCACTTTGTCGAACTTACAGATTGCATAACACCTGCTGGCATGGAAGATGGAGCGATCTCTGATTTGCAGATAAGTGCTTCGTCTCAAAAGACCGATAGTTTTGCGGCAAGTCGGGCCAGGTTAAATGTGAAACTGACCGGAATTAAGCAAGGAGGCTGGTCGCCTTTAAAAGACGATCTTAATCAATGGCTCCAGGTGGATCTTCGTAGTTATACCACAGTAACACGTTTGGCAACACAAGGAAGGGATGGATCAGATGAGTGGGTCACCAAATTCAAGTTGCAGTACAGTGTTGATGGACTAATATATCACTTTTACAAAGGAAGAGGAGAAAGCTCATCAACGGTACGTAAATCATACTAAAAATGAACATCTCGCCCCATGTAAGGAAATCCGGATTCTGGACTCCCAGAAATTTTTCCTTTGGAATCCGAAATTCTTTGAATGTTTTTCGTGTGGAATCCGGAGTCCTGGACTATCGAATCCAGAATCCAGCTCAAGGAGTCCGCTAACGATTGGAATCCGAAATCCAAGTTCTTCCGTTGGTTCTTTCCTTGCTGGAGAGGTTTTTCTCCGTTTTCTCTGTTTTTTCCCTCTCGTAAACATCCAACACTTACAAGTTTCAATTCGATATAGAACTCACGGACACGTTTAAACGAATTCCTAAGCGCTTCGTGGGTAAACAAATTACTCAAAAAACATTCGAAATGCCCAGGTCACGAGATTTCTTAACAACTTTTTCTCTTGCTTTTAGATTTTTGATGGAAACCAAGATAGTAACACCATTGTATATAACAAGTTGAATTCACCAATCACGGTACGCTTATTTCGGTTATTGCCAATAGAGTGGCGCAATCATATATGTCTCAGAATGGAGATCTACGGTTGTCCAGGTAAGTAAGCCGGTTAACAGTTATTAAACTGCTACCATCAATTAAACCATATATGCTGAAGTCAACACACATTTTGGTCGGTCATTACCTGGGATTAGTCAAAGTACAAATGCACGGATGACATTATGAAAGCTTTTTCAAGTGTTTCGTCCCACATACATGATCATTCGCTATGTTCTAAAAGAATGAAAAAAACTGGGTACGATATACGACCACAAAGTTTCTTGGGATCGTTTGGAGGCACAACATGAAAGTCAACAAATATGTCGTAACGCAACATGTCGTTACAAACTGCAATGATAAGTTAGGAAAGGCAACCATTCGTTACTCATAATGTTCTACAGAACTCCCAAAGAACCTTATGCACCAAGTATGTCTCCTTCAGTCAGAGTGACCTTCAGAGCGTGGCTTGCTACTCTCCGCCGTGTTTTTGCTCTGTATTCATATTGTCCGCTGTTTCTTTGATCTGTAAGTATATTGTCCAACCGTTAAGGGTCCTCCACCATAATGTTCCAATATTTTAATTTCTACTTATCAACCTCGTTATTGACTGTATTACAGGTTGTATAGCTCCTCTTGGTATGGAAAATGGAGCAATCTCTGATGCCCAGATAAGCGCCTCTTCGCAATGGGACAACTATCATGGTCCGCGTAGAGCTCGATTAAACGGGAAACGGTCTGCTGGAAACGGCGTGGGAGCTTGGTGCGCCATCACCAATGACATTTATCAGTGGCTTCAAGTTGATCTTCGGAAATATACCACAGTGACTCGCATAGCAACTCAGGGCAGAAGTGATTTGAACCAATGGGTTACCAAGTACAGGTTACAGTACAGCGAAGACGGAGTGAACTTCCATTTTTATAAAGCACTAGGACAAGATTCGGCAATGGTACGCCCAGTTAATATGCTTCTCGCCTCATTTTACGTAATCCGGATTCCGGAATTCGGCAAATTTTTGCGTAATCCGTGATCTGGCAAGACGGTGATACTTGTGGAATCCGGAATCCTGTTAATGAAGCTCAAAGAATTCGAAAATTTCGCTAACGATTGGAATCCAGAATCTAAGACTGTCTTGGATCACTTTACATGGGGCGATTGTTTCTCTACCAGTGGTGGATCCAGGGGGAGGGTCCAGGGGGTCCGGACCTCCCATATCAGACCTGACGCTTGTTTGAGACTGAAATTCTCACATCAGCAGGATCGTATATCACTCTTTAACTCACTGACTTTTTTCGTGAAACGCGCGTTGTACTTGCCACTAAACTAAATTCCAGGGATATTCAAAAAATGTAATTGTTTTGGGTACCCTCCTATGATCTGTTCGCCTCTGCTCGCCAAGCAGTATTTCCCGCGCAACCGGCGACCGGCGTTCGCAGATTGAGAAGCGCGTGCTCGTCTCTGTGAGAAGTAATTTGCCACAAAAAATTTCAAAAGTCCTTTCTGAACCAAAGTTTGGACGCCCCCCCCCCCCCCATCAAAAATTCCTGGATCCGCCCCTGTCTACGTTACTTGGTTCTTGTTTTTGCTGTTGTTGTTATTAATTATTATTATTAATTTGCTGTATTTAAGAAAATTCATTTATAGTTCAAAAGGTTACGAGCCAATAATAATTAAAAATATATCGGTGTATGAAATAATTGTTTATTATGTTTGGATAGTTGTTTGATGGAAACAAAGACAGAAACACGATTGTTTACCAAACATTGAGCCAGCCAAAAACAGCGCGTTATTTCAGGATACTTCCGGAGGCTTGGTACGGTCACATATCAATGAGAATGGAACTCTACGGCTGTTCAGGTATTTTTTAAAAAAAACTGCCTGAGGATTTTTCATTTCGCGGCCTTCACACCATAATGGAATCCCAAGTCATATACAATCAAGAAACCCAAATTGCAGCGAATACTGCCGAGCTCAACTTCAGTTCAAGTTTTTAAAGTCACCCGCCTTAATAAGACTTTTGATAAGGCAGAAAATACGTGGAGACAAAAAGCTAGGCCGACTGTCTAGCTTATCCTGAATTATTTTGAAAATTCCTCAGGGGCGTCTCTATTTCCTGAAGAGGTCAGAAGGTGTCCTAGTGGACTTTCTCAAAGTCCTACCCTTCTAATTTACTCTTCCTGTAGTAACTCACTTGTGCCGCAGAAGACAAAAACATCTCCCGCTCGTGCTTCGCGCTCGAGAAATTTTTTTAGCTCGACTTGAGGGTAAGTCTAGTATCCCAGCTGCATGTGCAGTCAGCCTTGATTTATTTATTTCTTGTATGACCTTCCTGACGTGATCGAAAAGTTTATGAAACTTTTTTTGAAATATGTTGGCTTTTGCGGTATCATGACAAAATACCGTTTTGACATTGATGCAACATCTAACATACATGTAAATTTACTCTACTGATCTTTCTTACGATTAGCCTGTGAAGCGCCTCTGGGCATGGAAAGCGAAGCAGTTACCGATTCTCAAGTAAGCGCATCTTCACAACTGGATGGCCAACATTCTGCAGCGAAAGCCAGGTTGCATTTCAAAACAGACGAAAACAAAGATGGAGGCTGGTCATCTCACACGAGCGATCCCAACCAATGGCTTCAGGTGGATTTCCGTAGCTATGCCACAGTAGCACGTATTGCGACCCAGGGTAGACACGCCCACAATGAATGGGTAGTTAACTACAGATTAAACTATAGTGATGATGGCGTGACATTCCAAACGTGCAGAGTGCCAGGAACCAATATCTCTAAGGTACTGCTCTGTCCTGAAAAATGGCTCTCTTTCACGCTTTTTTTGCAAGAGTAAGGAACTGGAGCCGAAATGTGTCCCTCAATTGTTTCTTGGATGGAGACTGGGGACTCGCCGTTCAGCTACTGACCAATTTTTTCCCTGTCCTTAATAACAATTCCAGAACTCTTTGCTAAGCCTATTTTTTTTCTTGTTTTTTAACTGGCGAATTGCGTCCTTATAATCTTTCTACTTACACATAAGCTTTTTAATGAATTGAACTAAACGATGTATTGTTTTCATTCTGATTGACATGCGTACTTTTTACCCCATTGAAATAGCGCCTCTCAAGAACTCCTTTTAACAGGGGTTTTCCTCCTACTGCTTGAAAGCATTTCATGTTCCCCGAGTCCTGTCGACGTAAGTACACTGTTAATGTTTGTTTTCTTCGTTTAGGTTTTTGCTGGTAACAAGGACAGTGACAGCGTTGTGACCCAAGACTTGAATCCGCCAATCACAGCACGCTTTTTAAGGATCCTGCCGACCAAGTGGAATAACCGGATTTCCCTCAGAATGGAGCTCTATGGTTGTGCAGGTATTCTGAAGTATTTTCTGAGACTTCCTTTACCCAACCTATCGACTCAGTGTTCTTTATTTTTTCTTTCACTTGCTTACTAAAAGCGACATGTTCTTGTTATTTTTCTTCAACTTAATGCAGTCGCTCGTGCAATATTTTGGCCACTTTTATACTGAATGAACGGAATGATAAAGGAAGAAAAGCCTGCACATTACAGTCCAAACGTATTTTAGATTTCATATATTTATATTCCTTGTTATGGTCAAGCTTGCTTCGCCCCACTTGGAATGGAAAATAATGCTATTTCAGACGGCCAGATAAGCGCTTCTTCACAAGTGGATGAAGATCACGCTGCAAACCAAGCTAGATTACATGCTAAGATAAGTGGCAGCAAAGGCGGTGGTTGGTCAGCTCTCAAAAATGATCCTAACCAATGGCTTCAGGTAGATCTTGGGACTTACACCAGAGTAACACATGTGGCTACTCAGGGAAGAAACTCCTTTAGTGGGTGGGTGACTAAGTACTTGTTGCAGTACAGCGACCATGGATTCGTCTTTCGGTCGTATGAAGAAGCAACTAACGCCTCCGCAATGGTAAGTCTTTGCTCTCGGGCGGAAAGTTTACATCTCGAACACTACTCAGGTTAAAACTTGATATGATCAGTCGTATTGCTTCCAGTGGCAACTCCAGAGTTTCATTGAACTAGACCCTAACACTAAAATCATGACTTTATAAACAATACCAACGCCTTTTTTCCCGCAAGGACTCAGCAAAGGTTTATAAGAGGAGGCTCCGTCCCGAGCTTCAACCCTTTACCCTTTACCCCTCTTACTTACCTTTTTGAGAATGAAGACTGCAAGCAGCAGGTTTTTCTCCCTAAAAATCGATTTTTTTAAGGCACCCACGTGAGATTTTCGCACGAGGCACACAAGCCTTACAAGCCCATAGCCCATAGTCTTTGTTCTTGACCAACGCAAAAATAACGGTTGTTTTGCTGGACCAGTGCTGAACATAGCGATAGCAAGGACGACAGGTTGGTTCCCCAGTTGTGGCAGTTCGGGAGGATTCATCGTAAATGCCATACATCAATGATATTTACATGTAAATGTCAATAGCAGTTCTATTCAGGAGTACGTTCACCGGGACGATCATACTCAACCTACTTATGAAATTGCTCCTGGGTTCAAACCTTTCACAGTTTCTTATTACTTTGATTCTACTTTTTTAGATTTTTGTTGGAAACAAAGACAGCGACACGGTTGTGTACAACATTTTAAAACCACCAATCACAGCACGCTTCATTCGAATTTTGCCGTTAGAGTGGCACAGTCAGATATCATTGAGGATTGAAATTTATGGCTGTCCAGGTAATTCAAGATGTGTCGGAAAACAATAAATCATAATTAAATATTTATACAAAGAGCCTGCCTGGATGTTTTCCCTGTTAGCCCTACTGTTGACTTGTCATAGTATTACGACACCAATCAACTTATGCAAATTTTGGTGGAATATCGGTACAGTCTAGTCTGAAAACAAATTCTCTTCTCTTTGATTCTGGCGCTTTAATGATCCTCACCTAGTTTGCACGAGATAATGTTTCTATTCGTTTCTGTGAAAGAAGTGTTCGAAAATTAAGTAAGGAAATTCGCTTCACTTTAGCCAAAGATTTCTAGGATGTTTTTAACGCGGTATTAGAGATATTCACGTATTTATTCAGGTTGTGTAAAATCACTTGGAATGGAAAATCAAGCCATTTCCGATGCCCAAGTAACAGCCTCGTCACAAATGGACAACACCCATTCTGCAAGAGAGGCCCGATTGCATTCCAAGTCAGATGGGAACCAAAGAGGTGGCTGGGTAGCTCTCAAGAATGATTTCAACCAATGGCTTCAGGTCGATCTTGGTACTTTCACCAGAGTAACACGTGTGGCAACTCAAGGAAGGGATGGGTATGATCAGTGGGTGACCAAGTACAGGTTACAGTACAGTGATGATGGAGACACCTTTCACTCTTTTAAAGTGATCAACATTAACTCTGCGAAGGTATGGATGTCTAGCCTGCAGAGCAGGCGTTTTTTTTCTTAACGAAAGCTTGGAGGTACCGCGGGAGCCGTATTGAAAGCAACTAAAAAAGTAATTGACTGGCCCCAACACTGTAAGTTTCTCTGTCCAAGATCGGAGGACATGATATCATCATTGTTTCCGCTGCAAAAATACGCCTTCTGTTGACTTATAGCTTTCTGGTATTTTTCCTATATTCAGGTTTTTCCAGGGAATCAGGATAACAGCACAGTTGTTTACAACCCATTGAGTCCACCAGTCACGACTCGCTTCATTCGGCTGATTCCAGTGGGCTGGCATAGTCGCATATCGATGAGAATAGAGATCTACGGCTGCCCAGGTACTGAGGAACGATTTCATATAAATAATGTATTTTCCCTTTGGCTTTACTATTGCCACTACCACTTTCATCATGTCATTACCTGAAACATTGCAACCATCTTCCCAATCTCGCCTCTTGTATTTAGTAATCTGAAGTTCCGAATCCTGGAAATTTCGCTTGTGGAATCCGATATCTTAAGGTGACTGAACACAGTTTTGCGGCGGTAACTCGTGTGACGGCGCCTGTTTTAAATTAGACAAACAAACATGGCGGCGAAAAAAGCAACGGTACACGGAAGATATTTGGCAGAATTTTCACTTTTATCGTATTTAAGATAATAAGAACTTTAAAATGGAAGTTGAACAGACGAATTTTGTGACACATTTAATAATTACAGTACAATTGTATTATTGATTATCTAAAAACCCGTGTGTTAAAGTTTGGTCAAATAAGTTTTAAATGGTAATGATTACTTATAGTAAGCTGTGTGGAAATTTAAACGAAAATCTAATGAGCGAATTTTATATAAACTGATCAAAATTGAAATTTTAAGTTTGTATTCAATCGTCACATTTTACCTGTCAATCAAAATCTTTCATCAGTATATTTTTCACTTGCCAAGTTTCAGCTTGTCAGCTGCAACCTCTCTCTTGCCATGATTTGGTAAATGACATTTACTCACAAACTGCCAAAACTGTGTTCAGCCACCTTAAGCTTTAGAATCCTGAATCCTGCTAACGATTAGAATCTAGAATCTAAGTTCCACTGTCTAGGAATGCGGGATCCAGTGCCTGGGATCCACAGCGTTGAATTCAGAATCCAGGACTGTCTTGGATCAATGGACAATGGGCGACCAATCGCCATTCCCTCTAACAATCATCTTGATACCACCGTTATTCCCAACATCTGGATCTCAACTATCTCTCTATTGTCTTTCCTCGATTACAGCCCCTGTTGCTAAGGTTTCGCCGTGATCAAATATCGTTGAAAAACTTGTTTTTCCCGCTCTTAACAATTTAGGTTGTACAGCAGCACTTGGAATGGCTCTCGGAACAATCACTGATGCCCAGATAAGCGCGTCTTCAAAACTGGACAACACCCATTCTGCTACGCAAGCCAGGCTGCATTCCAAAGCGGAGGGAAGCAAATTTGGAGCCTGGTCAGCCCTTGAAAATGATCATCATCCTTGGCTTCAAATAGATTTCGGTAGCTCCACTAAAATAACGCGATTGGCCTCAAGGGAGAAATGGCTTTAATGAGTGGGTCACCAGGTACACGTTAGAGTTCTGTGAAGATGGTGTGAATTTTCATCCTTATAAAATAAATCAATATGACTTAGAACCCATTTCGGAGGAGAAAACATGTCCCAGTAGGTACCACGGGTGTGCTAAGGTTTCTATTTCTTCACAAACTTGGCGAACCGTCTGAAACACAAACAAAACATTGGCTCGGCTAGAAATATGAGCCGCCTAGCTGGGTTTAAGTGTGAGATTGACCGTCCTAGCCGCATTAACGTTTTCCGGTTAAACTTTTCGCCTTGTCTATCCGGGCCACCTCGGTCAAGGACAGACAATCAGAACATAAACATAACAAGCGCCATTGTTGGCTCTTAACTCGGCGAAACTCACATAAACTCTTGCTAAAGTTGACTTGGCTGGGAGGGTGACCCTCTTTCCCTTGACAACCTTTCTTTTCGTGAAAGAGGCCTTACTAAGATTGGGGGAACTCTGAACTTTTAAGTTAAAACCACTTACCGTATCACTTTCTAAAATGCCCTTTCAGATACAGTAAAGCATTTCGACTTCAAAAACCTTTTGGATGTTACGGTTGTCAACATTTGCATCTGTGTTCTATGCGAAAGATGTCAATTATCGATTGGCAAGGATACCCAGCTGTAACTAAAATGTACTGTTATCGTTAAACGTCAGACTAGCCAAAGCTCCCTACTTGTACAATTTGAAATAGTTTTTAAAACAACCTCGTTCTTAAAACCTTTGTTTGCTTTGTAGGCCTTTCAAGGAAATCAAGACAGTGACACTGTTGTATACCACACTCTGATTCCACCAATCACGGCTCGGTTCATTCGGCTGTTGCCTCTTGAGTGGCACAATCACGTGTCTTTAAGAACGGAGGTCTACGGTTGTCCAGGTGCTGTTACGCAAAAATTGCAACACTTAATTAGAACAAAAAAGCAAGCTTCCATCTTTTTCATCACGTAAGATGGAATATTTTATTTCAGTATCTGCTTGAGCCCTGGGCCGTATATAAAGACTACCAGAACTTACAGTAAATGTTAATCTGACTGAGTTGCTCTAACAACTTTCACCCTACGAGCAGAGTCTTTTCTTACCTTATTCATCTGTTCATTAGAAGGAGAAAAGGAGGTTCTGCCAGAATGGCAACAAGCCTTTGAGGTTGCCGCAGCCCCAACTTCCGGACTATTCGGTTTTGTTTTCTCTCGTCAAAATGGTTTTGTCCAGTGCAAGCATCCGTTTATTGACAAACCGATGGTTACAACCGAGCCCTCTGTAGCATGCGCATGGGTAGTAGGTCTGGGTTCGAAACTCTATCTTAGAAACATGCCGCACATGCTAAACAAAGATGTTACTCGATTCATGCCGGGTTTTCTCGAGTACGCCACAATCAAGCAAGCGATAGAAAAGGAGCTTTGCTGGTAGGGTGCCTGCAAATCTACTGGTAGTAACTTTTGATATATTTTTAAATTTAGGTTGCGTTGACCCTCTCGGCATGGACAGTGGAGCAATAACTGATGCCCAAATAAGTGCTTCCTCGCCAGTGGGATAACAATCATGCTGCATCACGGGTCGAGCTGCACATGCAGTATCAAAGAAGGGAAGTAAAGAGGAGCCTGGTCATCTCGCACAAATGATCTTAACCAATGGCTTCAGATAAACCTTGGTGGTTACTCTACATTAACTCGTGTCGCAACACAAAGGGAGAAGTGATCACGATCAATGGGTAACTAAGTACAGATTGCAGTACAGTGATGATGGGTGATCTTCCAGTTCTATAAAGAGCCACATCAGACTTCACCAAAGGTATGTAAATAGGCAGTTTAAGCAACAACGTCTTTGAGCGCCGGATGTCAAGCGAAAGTGAGGCCTTTTCCCCTTTCAGTATGCCTTGACGCCAGCAGGTTTTCATTGTTAAGTGTCTTGACGCTTATACAGACGATTTGCCCAAGACTTCAGGCAAAAACCGCCTTCTAAGAATGCAAAGTCCGCTTCCGCTTGACGTGCGTCACTCAAAACGTGAGATGTCGCTCTTATAGCTGTTACCTCCTTTGAAAGCAGTTTGAGGAAGAAAAAATGCGGATTACGTTCTCCTTAAGAAGAACATAAGTGCATTTCGCTTGAGTAGACCTCAGTACCCGCTATTTTTTACTTATAAAAGCGCTTCATTTTGAGAAAATGTGATTATTCAGCTTTTTGGAAACACTGCTATTGCTCACAAGAATACGGTCGAACCTCTGTTTAACTGCCTCCTATTACGCAGTCACTCTGAGAACAAAATTGTCAGTAAATCCTGTAGTAAAAACTCTATTAAGCGACCACTTGGGTGCCTCATAGAGAGTGGCACCACAACTAACTTGACTGAATCTTATCTCACTTATAGCAGAGCTGTCGCTTGCTTTTGGCGCACCATAGGTAAGAAAATTTAGTCATCTATGTATCCAAGAAATTCCGGTTCTGACAAAATTATCTGTACGTACGTCCGTACGTCAGTCCGTAAAAATGTACGTCCGGCCCATCATGTTAGCGGATGTGGAATGTCTTACTAGCTCAAAAATCCAAGGTATATACAAATTGTGTTTAACTTGATACTGGGCATCCATGTCGTGATCAGTCGACAGCTATTAAAATAAAGGTATCCGCTGACTAGTGCAACATGGCTGTATCGCTGGCTCAAATGTACAACTCGTTTAGTTGAGGGTTTCTTTTTTAAGTTCTCCGCCTACCAGTTATGGTTTTCAAGTGATCTCAGGCTCAGAAAACTTCAGAACGACCTTTCTCTTAAAAGTTCACGAGAGGAACCGCTTTTTGGCCTTGGCTAAATCTATTTAGTAAAATCCAACTAGTGGTCTATTATCGATGCTGCGTTCTGATTAGTTGAGCTACTACTAGGCTATATGTTATAGCCCACTAGTAGCAAAAGCGCCGGCTTTTGGCGGCAAAAAGGATTCAAGTCTTGCTTTAACTAGCTAAAAAGTTTTTTTGTCTCGATATTTTTTGACCAACTGGTTGGATTTTACTAAAACAATTATTCCTCTCGCCCTCATGGCCTCTGGAGTCAATAGCTCATTCGGGCTCGAGGAATAATTGTTAAAAATTCTTTATATTGATAAATTTATGTTTCAAAGTGGGAAGATAGTATGACCTTTCTAACGACCAACAGACTTCTTTTGACAACTTTTCTTACATCTAGCATATTCTGCTTGGACTTTAAAGTATTATCAAGGCATAACTACGTGCCTGAAATTGTTTTCACTGAATCACTGCAGGTTTTCCTCGCAAATAAAGACCGTAACACCATTGCTTACAACATGTTGAATCCACCCATTACAACGCTTCATTCGAATCAAACCGATGGGTGGCGTGGACACATATCCATGAGGATGGAGATCTACGGTTGTCCAGGTATTCAAACTTACATTGCTCGCTTACTTGCACAGTAATACTACTTACAGTAGTTGCCACTTACAATGAATCTGGTGCTGATTGCAACACGCTCCATTCGAACCTAACCGCTTAAGTTACGCTACCGCGTTTCCATCACGATGAAGATCTACCGCTTTTTAGTGATTCAAGCTTCAGGCATTGTCCACACCAACAGAGGATGGCTGAAACCGCATACCTAGGCAATTCGATCGAAATTCGACAATATGCGGTGTCCATCGGCTACACGAATTTGCAAATCAGTCAGAATCCAAGACAAAAAATACATTGTGGAGGAGTTTCAGATGTCGTTTCCGGTTAGCGGATTTGCTAATTTCGTGTGAAAGGAAAACCTATTCGTGTAAAAAAATGTGGTTTAAAAAATATCCGGGTTCTTCTGAATGGGGCCGTCCTTACATGAAAGCTATACTGATGCGTTCTGTTTGAACGAAACAGCTGTCTGTAGCTGCCACCAGGGAGACATGGCTGTGCGCGTGTTGTTGGGTGTGTCACTTTCCTTGGGCATTGATCTTGCATCACTACCGGTCCACTATCTGCTTACCAGAGCCGCAGCTAGTGGAGGGGAAGGGGCAGCCGCCCTGGAACTGTTGAGCCAGACAAAATCAAGTCTGGGATGGATTTGTTCTCTTTAGACTCAGGGAGGATACAGACCCCCTAAAGGTTCATGCCTTCGGCAGTCGCGATAATTCCCCCACCTCGTGACAGAAAAAAAACCTAGCTACGGCCCTGCTTACTTGGCTTAAAGAAAACCTGCAACGTCCCAGTTCCTTGACAATTAGAAAGTCATAAGCTATAATTCACTCTGCAGTTTGAAAGGGTTGATTGGTCTACGTTACTTGGGTTTTGTAGAAAAAAGTATCAAGGAGAGGTAATCCAACCAAATCAGACAAATCTAGGTTGTACGACACCGCTTGATATAGAAAATAGAACGATCCCTTATTCATGGATAGCCGCCTCGTTATCACGTGATAACAAACACATTGCTTTGGGAGCCTCCGCGTATAAAAGTTTGTTGAGTGGCCGGCAGTTTGAGAGGCGGCTGGATCTCTTGCTTGGGTTTCTACAGAAAGGACAAAACCATGCCTAATTAGCGAGGGTATTAAGCTTTTTTGATGTTTCTGCCTCTAAAACAAAATCTGGGCTGTACGACACCGCTTGGTATGGAAAATGGAGCGATCCATGATTCCAGGATAACCGCTTCATCGTCACTTGACAACAAACACACCGCTTTGCAAGCAAGGCTGCATCTGACAGCTGATTCAGGACGGGGAGGTGGTCGGCTCTTAAAGATGACTTTTATCAGTGGCTTCAGATAGAACTTGGTGGTTACACAACTGTAACACGTGTAGCGACCCAAGGAGGAATGGACGAAATGAATGGGTGACACAGTACAGATTGAAATATAGCCGTGCAGGAAATATCTTCATGTATTATAAGCTGAGGGAAAACAGCTCAGCAATGGTAAAAGTATACAAAGCTCAGTCGTGTTCGTTAGATTTGTGGCGATTTGTGGGTTTTGTCGTTAACCGTAACTGCAATCTTTGACAAAGCCACTGAGCGAACGTTACATAGTCTACAGGTGTATATATGTGTGTCTAAAGAGGCAAACAACATTGACTCCAGAAGTGGGGTGTAATATTTGTTGGTTCGTTACATATAATATACGTTAAAATGCTTGGAAAGCATTTAACGTGATATTTTTCTCTAGGGTTGGAATAAGTAATCTCGAAAGCCGTAAAGCGGTAGGGAATATGACATTATCCATCAGAGCTAGAGGGAGGTTGATTGGTTTGCTGTTAATTCTAAGTTAGGCTGTTCGCAGTACCCTATTTTTTCGTAAGATCAGCCATCTTGGTTTCATATTTACTGAGGGGAGGCAGGGTCGGGGTTTGTAGCGGTGGGAGGAGGCCTCCTCCCAAAACCGTCCTCCGCCTCCTAAGTGATTTGACATTTCATCTCCAGGCGAAACATTTGAAGCCAAGATGGCCGCCCGTAACGCAGGGCGCTCGATCTCGATGATCTTATGAAAAATAGCGGTGGTGTCCAATTCCAACTCGTCGCCGAAAACAGTTGGGTGACTGTGGTTCATTCAGTTTGTCACGATTAGCCGGGATTTTACTTGAAATGAGAAAGTGAAAACTAGTAGGCTTGTTTTTTCCCTTTTAGGTGTTTGAAGGCAATAAAGACAGTAACAGCGTTTCTACAAACAGATTAACCAGCCGATCAGGCACGTTACCTTCGTTTTATACCAATAGAGTGGCATAATCACATATCAATGAGGTAAGAGATCTACGGCTGCCCAGGTGTGATACACTTCCAAATAATTTTCTGAGAGTTGTATGTAGCTACAATGCTGTGTGAGCGGTAGTGATTAATTTGAATTGGCATGTTGAAAATAACCGTGGTTAGCACCCTATGGAGCGCTTATTTGCTGGTTTACCCGCGGAAAAGAAATAATCCTTTGTAAT